CCAGCAGTGTATGAGGATTCTCTTTTCTCCACATCCTCTCCAACATTTGTTATTTCTTGTCTAGGTAATTATAGCCATTCTGACGGATGTCAGGTGATATCTCATTGTAGTTTTGATTTGCATTTCCCTAATAATTAGTGATGTTGAACATCTTTTCATGTGCCTGTTGGCCATCTGTATATCTTCCTTAGAAAAATGTCTGTTCATATCCTTTGCCCATTTTTTGATTGGGTTGTTTGTTATTTTTGTTGTTGAATTGTGAGTTCTTTATATATTTTGGAGATTAACCCCTTGTCAGATATATGATTGCAAATATTTTCTCCCAGTTGGTGGATTGTCTTTTCATTTTGCTCATGGTTTCCTTTGCCTTGCAGAAGCTCTTTAGTCTGATGTAATCCCATTTGTTTATTATTTCTTTTGTGTCCCATGCCTGAGTAGACATGGTATTTGAAAAGATACTGCTAACACTGATGTTAAAGAGTGTACTTCTGGGCCAACCCCGTGGCTCAGTGGTTGGGTGCACACGCTCCACTGCTGGCGGCCAGGGTTTGGATCCCAGGCGCGCACCGACGCACCGCTTCTCTGGCCATGCTGACTGAGGCCATGTCCCACATACAGCAACTAGAAGGACGTGCAGCTATGACATATAACTCTCTACTGGGGCTTTGGGGGGAAAATAAATAAATAGATAAAATTATAAAAAAAAAAAAGAGTGTACTTCCTATATTTTCTTCTAGGAGTTTTATGGTTTCAGGCCTTACAGTCAAGTCTTTAATCCATTTTGAATTAACTTTTGTGTATGGTGGAAGATAATGGTCTACTTTTATTCTTTTTCACATGGCTGTCCAGTTTTCCCAACAACATTTATGGAAGAGACTTTCTTTTCTCCATTGTATGTTCTTGGCTCCTTTGTCGAAGATTAGCTGTCCATAGATGTATGAGTTTATTTCTGGGACCTCAATTCTGTTCCATTGATCTGTGTGTCTGTTTTTGTGCTAGTATCATGCTGTTTTGATTAGTATCACTTTGTAGTATATTTTGAAGTCAGGGAGTGTGATACTTCCAGGTTTGTTCTTTTTTCTCAGGATTGCTTCGGCTATTTGGGGTCTTGTTGTTCCATATAAATTTCAGGATTCCTTATTCTGTTTCAATGAAATATGTCATTGGGATTCTGATTGGGGTTGCACTGAATCTGTAGATTGCTTTTGGTAATATGGACGTTTTAACTATGTTTGTTCTTCCAATCCATAAGCATGGAATATCTTTCCATTTCTTTATGTCTTCTTTTATTTCATTCAATAATGTCTTAGAGTTTTTAGCTCTTGGTTAAATTTATTGCTGGATATTTTATTCTTCTTCTTGTGACTTTAAATGGGATTTTATTCTTGACTTCTCTTTCTGCTAGTTTGTTATTAGGGCATAGAAATGCAACTTATTTTTTTATGTTGATTTTGTACCCTACAACTTTGCTGGAGTTGTTGATTATTTCTGATAGTTTTCTGGTGGATTCTTTGGGGTTTTCTGTATATAGAATTATGTCATCTGTAAACAGTGAGTTTTACTTCTTCCTTTTCAGCTTGGATCCCTTTTATTTCTTTTTCTTGCCTAATTGCTCTGGCCAAAACTTCCAGTACCGTGTTGAATAAGAGTGGCAAGAGTGGGCATCTTTGTCTTGTTCCTGTTCTCAGAGGAATGGCTTTAGGTTTTTCATCATTAAGTATGACGTTGGCTGTGAGTTTGTGATATATAGCCTTTATTATATTGAGGTAC